GGCGGCCTCGGAGGTGGACTCGGCGGTGGTCTTGGCGGAGGTCTCGGCGGCGGCATTTCCACCGGCATCTCCAGCGGATCTTCATCTACTTCCATTGGAGGTGGTGGTGGCGGTAGACCCGCAAGCAACTATGGCCCACCTGGCCAGAGCGGGCCATACTAAGCCCCACCAAATGTGTTGTGATTCATCCACATACAGTTACCATGGCGCGACCCCGGATACACACCACACATCCTTCAACATTCTACACAACACACAACATTGCTATTCTTCGTGGGTCGCGCAGACCATACCATTCATTTGTACATACCAACAACCCTTAGAACACCCGCAGCGACAAATATGCATGCAGCATGATATGTTACTCGTTTTTATATTTTTGTATATAATACTCATTATTGATAAGATAGCAAATTACGGTGACAAATAAATGTATTTTTAGTAAACATAACTTGTACATGTTTTCATCCTGGTTATTCCTGTTTTTGTGTTGGTCCGTTTATCATGTATTTTTGACGTTTATGCTCAATAAATACATAATTTTGTAAATTTATACTCTTGAGATGCCGAAAAGATCGCGGCTTGTTTAACTGGTATCCTCATTTTATACATAAATTAAATATTTTTTCAACAGCAAAGATTTACACGGGATATTGAATACGTGGGTGCAATTTTAGAGAAATTTTGTAATATTATGCGATTTAAGTTATCATATGCAATACGGTTGCATTTTACGTCGTTGTGCATTATTTCGAACATTGCTACCGCCATCAATCAACTGTTCACGTGAACAATTTTGACTCTCATGCACAGCATATTAAATTTAAATTAATCATGCGCCGCTGGGAATCTGCTAAATATTTATATTGTTTTGCATAATCACAGGCATATAAATATTCAAATACACAGTCGATTGCAACAAAATCTACGTTTTCTATGATTTGATATGTCTGAAACTGCATACTAATACGTTGATTGCGTCGTTAATGAGAATGTCTCCAATATAGTTTCTCGCTTTTTTATACGCCTGTCGAAACGCATCATCTAGAATCGCAGGTATCTTGCGGGTGTATGTGTGAGTGATGATGGCATATACATTCGGTAGTTTATTATTGACAAGGTTACTAAATTTTTATTTGTTTGCCGGCGTCGCACGCGTGTTGCGGCGTGGCATCTGCTTTGAAATAGAAATGTTAACCTGTGCGGCCGCCCGCCCGCGAGTGGAGTGAAGATGTCCTTGCAAAAAGGATGTCTCGGTCTCGGGCAAAGTGGGGATCTTCTATAAATACAATAACCGTAACCTTACCGAATCACACTTGAATTGTGAACACAAGAATACGATCATGAAGGGTTTACTGGTAAGTGTGCTCTGCAATCTTGTTTAAAGTATAGAATCTAAGGGTGCTTGTGATTAGATCGTCTCCGCTTTGGTTGCTTGTGCGTTGGCCAGGCCAGACATTGGATTAAACATCCGTAATGGATACCAGTACCAGCCCCCGGCGACCAGTTATGGCACCCCGACCGGCAGCTACCTGCCTGGTGGTAGTGGTGGCCAGACTTATCAGCAATCCTCATCGTCCCAAAGCTTCGTGAGCTCTGGAAACGGTGGATACAACAGCAATGCCAACACTGGTAACGGTGGATTCTCTGATTCCACTCTCAATGTTCAGGACTATGCTCGCTCCGGCTCCCAGGGAGGTTTCAGCGGGTTCAATCAGCAATCTGGTGGTGGATTCCAACAACAAAGTGGCGGATTCAGTCAACAATCTGGTGGCGGATACCAACAACAAGGTGGTTTCCAACAAGCCCAGACCCAAGTGCACAAACACGTCTACTTCTACGACTCTCCTGAAGACCTCCCAGCACCTACCATCCGTCTCTCCGGTGGTGCATCTGCTGCCCAGAAGAACTACAAGATCATCTTCATCAAGGCCCCAGCCTACCAAGCCCCACAAGTACCACAAATCCCTACCCAATCTCAGAACGAAGAAAAGACTTTGGTCTACGTCCTCGTCAAGAAACCCGACGATGCTCAGGATATCGTTGTACCTACTCTTGCCCCATCCAAACCAAGCAAACCAGAGGTGTTCTTCATCAAATACAAGACCCAGAAGGAAGCTGAACAACACGTACAGACCATCCAACAAGGTTCCCACAGCGGTGTCTCCGCCAACGCTGTTGATAACGACTCTGCTTTTATCAGCACTATCACTGATTCTAAGGTTTCATCGGGTGGCCACTCCGGCAACATTGGAGGCGGTGGAGTCATCTCAAACACCAACGACTATAACTCTCAGATCTTTGGCGGCGGTAATGTTGGTGGTGGACACAGTTCTCAGGAGAACCACTTCGAGGCTACTCACACCAGCAGCCAGGTCACATCAGGCAACAATGGTCAGAAATATGGCCCGGCTGGTGCAAGCGGACCCTATTAAATCAACGCCTACAGGGAATTTACACTGCCATTTATTTAAAAAGATCAATCAACTTTGCCTTTGATATCGTGCTAAAAAGGTGTGAATCTAAATGTCTTATCTAATGTATTTAATGATGTAAAATGGAAAAATATATTTGTACATATACATAACACTTGTGTCTTTATGATTACGAACTTTACGCAATAATCGCTATAATGCGATGCATAAAAAATGGATATAAACGATTACGTCGCACCGACGTCTTCATCAACAACGTTTTATACGTCATATTTTCTTGTTTTTTTCTTCTCTGCACATTTATGATCTTTTTCTGACACCAAAATGGCGGTATTCTAGCACAGTTGCATCGTTGCATCACATACTTTGTTACCAATTGTTAGTATCAACAATGCACTGGCGCTAATTGCATAAATTACTTAAATAAATTAAGCTCACACAAAAATATGCAGCTAATTTATGGCTAAATAAAACATGTGATGAAACAATAGCTTTCAAATTGATGTAATGTTCTGAAACGTTAATTTGCATCAGTTTTTGGTGAAATCCTAAAAATTCAATTATTTTAGACACATGGTGCGCTCGTTTCTTTTTTTTTTTTTTATTCTGGTGATTCATGTGTCTCTTGTTGCATTTGAAGCGCTTCACATTTTGATGTGATTTATAGCGACCTAAAGCGTTGGCGCTCTTGACATAATTCTTCATAATTTGTTTTAATTTTTAATTCGGTTTTCAAACGTTAACTTAAAATTCGTTTTCTCATTTTGAACGGCGAATCTAATTGACGAAACATGATGGAATTGCTGTAACAAAACCACAAAATTACGAAATTTCTTCCACTTAACACCTTAACTTACTTGAATTATCTTCAATTTAATATCGTTAGAACATCTCACAAGTCGGTAATAGAATAATAGTATTTCAATATAATAGGTATACGTCTTTTGTTTCTTGCATTGTTAACTTGAGTACACTTATATCATAATGCGATTAAGTTAATAGCGAAGCTACACGTACTCGTACGTGAGTGTAAACTTTTCTTGTCTGGTAATGATTTTAGATCGAAAATGGGATAGGCTTACCTTAAGGCAAATTTTGTTTATGTTTACATCGCGTGAAATTAATAAAAGTCGTGGGCGTTTTGTTAAAATTGAAATATAAAACTTATCGAAATCTAACGTTTATTCTATAAATTTAATGCACTGATATGCAAGGTGTTTAAATATTATGGAGGAAAGGAGATGAGAGTGAGAAGCGACACCGTGCGGTACTTTCTCCATAAATTTGTCATTTATGTAACTTTGCCGTTTGTCTTAACTTCTTCGTCGGCATCGTGCATCGTGCATAATGTGCGATCGATCGATTCACGTTTTCCGGTTGCGCGTCGACGCTTATTATCGCATTGAATAAGTGGAGACTTCAACAGTTTAATGAAACCTTATCAAGCGAATTCGATGGGTTTGCGTTTGATTTGTTTAATTGTGCATGCACAATCTAAACAAACAAGTAGATATCAATTAAACCTTCAAATGTTTCGATGATTTACAAGTATAAACTAGGAATTACGCTTTCACTTAAAACCGAACAAAAATAAATGATGAAAATAAATAAACTTTATTTTTTCACATTGCGCATGATATTCTGATAATTAAACACATCACGATGTTCATTCGTGTGCATGTTTAACACGAACATTTTTCAAATTAATTTGCAATCTTTATAACAACTAATTAAACATTAAACATGCATATTATGACAATGTCGTAAAGTTAATTTTCTTAATATATGAGTAAACGAATAGGTTTTTTTTCTGTATGTAGGAAGATGAAAAAACTGCGCCCACATTACAAAACAACCTCACTCGTCGTCTACCGGTAGAACTATGATATCTGAAATTTTTCTTCGCTAATTAAGTTCATCGTCATCGCCAATTAATAACCACTTAAAATATACCTCGCCGCATTGTTGCACGCTCACGAGAAGTAAACACCTTCACTTTTATCTTCGCAACAAGTCGAACGCATACTGACACACACACACAATTTGTGTCTTGTTGGTCATTTGTGCGCCGCATGCATTCGGCCACGACATTTCGCTAAATTTCATCTTCGAACTCACGCCACAATAAATCACCAATGATTATGACCCACAATGACCTACAAAGTGTTGTTGCTCACCTATGCACACAAAACTATAACAATGTATTCCACTGTGGTTTGCAAACTGATGTTACCCTTGGTGGATAAATTTACAACGCGTAATTCATTTCAATAACGCACTTCTATGATCTAATAACAATCGGTTTGAAGGCAAGCCCGCTTTTATAATGTTATAATTGCTAGATGGCGAGTTAGACATTCATAATATATAATAAATAATGAAGCAAGATGTTGCAGATGCGATGCTCAATGATCATACATCGATGTCAAAGACGCTCGTTAATTGGTGTGATTGTTTAGATTGTCCTGATTTCGATTTTCTTTGACTTGCAGGTGGATGGCATCTGTTGCGGAATTGGAACACCGAAGACTTCGATTTCAACGGCCTTCTGCGTACGCTGCATGTGACCTACGGAGTGTCTCCGTATTTTAAAATTACCACAGTGCCAAATCCCAGAGAACCGGGAACACCAGCATTGTAATCTTACCAGCCGGTTTGGGTCTTCCAGATAAAAGTTATTATTACCTAGAGGATGAAAAGGTTTGTTAATGTCTGCACGATTTTGACATTTGTAAAATTTTTAACGTGAGTGTGTTTTGATTATAGTACAGCAAAGCATATGAACAATTAATCACCGACGTCATCGTCCTGCTGGGACAATCCACAACCGATACTCAACGGTCCGCGAAGGATGTATATTCTTACGAGCGTCGCTTAGCTGAAATCATGCCGAACCGAGATGAGTTGCGTGATCCGATTAGCACCTACAATCCGATGAAAGTGTCTGCGTTGAAATTATCTGTCCAACAAATTGTAAGCATCTTCAGTGTCATATTAAGACTTAAGCTACTTTAAATCATTATTTTAGCTGCCATTGCAAGACATTTTAACAGCCATGTACCCAGACGCAAACATCAACGAAGAAACTGAAGTAATCGTGGCTCAACCGGATTATTTAGCGAAGTTATCGCAATTGGTGTCGTCCACTGATAGTCAAACTAGAAATAGCTACATGATGTGGACACTTGTGCGCGAATATGTCCCATATCTTTCGGCTGACTTTCAGAAGGCCATTGATAGATATCATTCGGAATTGTTTGGTAAGAAAACATATAAACATGTTCGATGTTGTTTTGATTTATTTCTACTGTAGGAGTAAAGAATCCGATTGAACGTTGGGAATTCTGCTCCAGTCTTGTGCAGCGCTTCATGCCGATTGCTATTGAAGCCGTGCTGGAACGCCAGCAATCGATGGGCGATGCCAAGCACGTTGTGAACCAGATGTTTGAACAAATTGCCGCACAACTTCGTCAGGATTTAGACGATAAGATGCGCCGTAACGATATTACTTCTGATTTGCATTCGAAGTTAAAGAAAAAGGTAAGAAAAGTGAACGAATAATAAAAAAGACATGTTTAACTATTTTGTTGTAGCTTGAATTAGTGAAACTTCATGTTGGATTGCCGGACGGTGTATTGAACGCTACCTTTGTGAAAACCTTCTACAACCGCTTGAACATCATCCGATCGAACCTATTTGAAAACCACAAGAAAGCGATAGTTTTCGCGAAGAAACGCGAGGAGCAGCTGTTGCGTGAATCCTCCACCGAGGATTACCTCATGGCGGCCATCACACGAAGGCCGGCCCAAGTTGAGTACGTGCCCAGCGGGAATGTCGTGGTCGTTCCGAGAGTGCTTCTCACCGCACCGTACTTTGAGTCGAGATATCCCAAGTATGTTTTGAATCAATTCTAGGCTATTATGTCTTAATATAATCACTCTTTAACTTGCTGTAACGCTGACTAATGACACAATCATCGTTAATGTCGGCATGATTTAACAGCGCATCTAAACGGTTTTGATTGGTGCTTGTAGGTCGATTAATTACGCGAGGATTGGCAATGACATTGCATTCGCCTTGGTCTCCAGCATCCTACCGTTCGACAGTGGATGGACGGCGGATGCTAAATTGTTGTCGCAGTATCATCTCGCCGTCAACGAGTCCCAGAAAGTTATTGATAAACCCACACGATGCTTGACGAAATTAATTGAAGAGAATCATTACGTGCAGGCAGACTTTGCCTCGCTATCAGCATTAAATACGTATAAGTATTTAACTGCTTTGGAAACTTCATATAATGTATGTAATGAAAATAATAATTTGTTGAAGTTTTTAATGATTTTATTAAATTTCAGAGTATGGAAACAAGTTTGATGAATAAGGAACATGTTCTACATCCCATCTCTAGCAGTCTATGAAGACTCTGACTTGTTTTATCTCACAAGCCTCCAGGTATAACTTGTTTAACGTTTCTTTACATATTTTTACATTTTTGAATGTTTAGGAACTCTGTACCTTGTCGACTGATCAACAAAATTTGCATGACACACTCGTGAATCACAAGCTGCCAGAAAACGGCATGTAAGTTATTAACATTTTAAATAATTTAAACCTTTAAGTTATAATTCGTTTCACCACAGATTTGAAGTGATTTTACATCAATCACGTAGTTTGAGTGCGAGCTTACTCTCAAAATGCTCCAAGATGGACTCCACGACGTGCATACAGTGATATATTTAAACTAAGGAGAGAAGTGTAATTATTGCAAAAACTGCTTATAATTCTTTGACGTTATTTATATATTTTTCGTAGCTTAAACAAAACAGATATTCGTATAATATTTAGAAACAAAGGAAACATTCTTTTTGAAACTGTTGATATTACTGTAATACTTCTAATGTCGCACACCGATATTGTCGAGTATTGGTGTTGCGACATAGGACCTGATTGCCCTTTGTTGTTGAACACAGGTGCAACAAAGCTGGAAGTGGAACGTATCCAATGCCTTGACCTTGGCCGTTAGACAAGGAGACGCCGCCCTTGGTGACAAACCCCATGATTTCTCTCGAGCAGGATGTCCGCAAGCCGGAAGTGCCAATCGGCGGAAGCCACAGGTCTCGCATTTTTTTCATAAAGTTTTGGGAGATACTTTTATCAATTGAGACAGAGTGCAGTTTTGTTCTTTCGATGTGTCGTTTTTTCTTCAATCTCTGTAGCAGGGTTTGATGTTCTTTGCGCAGTGTAGCCCGTTCTTCTTTGTGTACGTCTCTTCTTTGAGTTTCTAATGGGGGTGTAGTAATGTCTGTTGGAGATGCAGGCAAACAAATCATGGTGTACCTTGTGACGAGTCCTTTTTTCAATGTTATTTTTATTGGAACTAAATAGTTTTCATATTGGGGTTGTATCCATTTGTGTTTTCGATTGTTTAAATATAACTGTAGGTCTGCCAGTACTTTCTTACTTCTTAACACGAAGAAATTTTCGTATTCTGTTGTTGTCCAATCGTGGAGTAGAACCCGCCAATTGCAATTAATAGGACTAAATGATGCGAATTTATTGAAATTGGTTCGTTTATTTGGTGGTAGACGAAAGAATCGTGTCCGATTGGCATCGTCAAGTTGTTCGTTCTCATTTTCACCGGCTTTTGTGTCTGGCGGGAAAAGATCTTGTTGCAATAATTCGAAATTGATGTTTTCTGTCTCCCTGTATCCTCCTGCACGAGCTCCCCACATAATAAAACACATCCATGTGCATTGTGCCCATCCTTTCGGTATAATCACATCCCAGCCGGAGCAAAATCCTTCAAAATAAAATTATTGGTGAGAGTTGCCTCAAATATGAATACAAAACACTTACCAGTTTTCGAGACTCCCGGTCTTTGAATCAACATAAGTGGTATTTGTGCACCTTGAGACTTCATCTCACTCCCAGGAACCAGCAGTTGAGACCTCAACTCATTGATAGCAACATTTGAAAGTTTAGATTCTGTTACATTCTGTCTGATATCTTGATTCCAAATCGCACCATTTGATAAACCATTTGGCGGATCGACGTTCCTCATTTCTCCCGTAGAATTCAATGCTTTAGTTCTTTGATTTGGCATGCTGTATCTTGGATCAGTTATTACAAGTGAAAATGTAATGTGTGGACTAAGCATAGCAGGTGTTTGCACTTGTTTGACTGAATTCCAATATTCAATTTGTTCAGAAAATAACTGTCTTTGTTCATCATCCTCTAAATACTCTTGCAACCAGGAGTTTATTTCCAAACATGCATCCACTGGCTTAAGTGCTGAGGTCAGTATAGCCTGTGATAATGGACCTGTAAGCCTGAACCTATTTAACTCAAATCTAAGGTCAGTTATTTGTACTTTCTTATTAATCCATTGTTTTGTGACTTGTCTGCAGGTAGGTCAAAATGTGTAATCAATGAATCTAAAACTTGCTGATAATAAGCTGCATGAACCCATAACCAAATTGTCCTTTGTTTTGAAGCAGTAACTGGCTGCCAATTAAACATAACACTTCCTATTGGCACATTTTCTGCATAATCATAAAACATTGTTTTCCTTCCCTGTTTCCATCAATATAAGCTTTTGCATGGATTGACAGCCCCTCATCACTTCTTGTAAGCTTCTTAAATGTTTCAATTAGTAAGTCTTGCTTTCCTTTGAGCTCTATGCATCCAGTGTAGGAGATGTCCTGAAGTAAGCAATGTTTCATAGTTGCTCTATAACATGCTCTAAATGCTTTGTCAGTGGGACTGTATGGTATTTTGTAAGACCATTTGTTTATCATATGGAATCTTTTTGCATGCCAAATATGTGTCTCCAACCATTTGTTCTCTCTTTGCCTTAGGTGTAATTTCAGCATTGAGTAGTTTTGGTCTTCTCCGAAATTTTCTAGAAGGCCTCTTCGATTTCGGCGGTAACCCAGACTTCTCAAGCTGATTCTGATGTATTTGTTTTATGCTTTGTGGTACACGTTTAGTACTATGACCCATTACCCTGCGTCGCATGTGCCGGGGAAGTTTTTGAAACGCAAGTTTAGTGCCATTTTGTGCTTGGAGCAAATTTGTAACTGTCTTGATTTCTCTTATACGTGCACTGGCAAAGAACAGTGCTGGAACACTTTCTGGTATTGAATTTTTATTCATAATTCTTGTTTAACCGTACGATTCAATACAACTAATTCTGAGGTTAAGTCGTGAGAAACATAACAAATACACGTGTTGGCAAGTCGTGACCTAGTGAAAAGTAAGGTGCAGTGAAAAATCAAAAATCGGTATGTTCTCATGTTATAACTGATGTATGAGTTTGATCTGTCTTATCCATTTATTGCCTTTCATTTGTAACTAACACAACTAATGTCAAGAGCTACTTGTTGAATGCTTGATGAAAACAGTAGTGCAAATATTAAGGAAGAATAGCATTGCGATGCACATTTTATATTCGTTTCCATGGTAACGACATCAGTGGCGTGCATGAAAAAACGTAGAAAAATGCTCTCAGACCAAACCACGACCTGATAAAGCAGGAATTCAAATTTTGCGCTGGCGTTATAGTGTACAAATATGTTAAATGTTGTATATTGCTGTTGTTTAACTGGAGACGTCTGCCTGTATTACAGGTATTATTGGATCGTTCCATGTGTCACACCTTGCATGTGCCGTGTGATATTATTATTAACTTCGTTAATCTGTCTAAATGTATATATATTACAGTGTTTTCTGTGTGTTATATATTTCCTGAAATCCAGTTGACCAAAATGTTCAGCAGTAGGACAGCCGAGCATGTAAGACTTAAATGAATTGCATGAATTGAATGTTTTTATGTCCTCGGTCGTTGTATCGAACGTATCGCAATACTGATAGTAACCGCGTGTTCTCGACGTTAGCTGTGCACACTCAGTTTTATTCCGGTTTAACGAATGATTCGCGTGTTCATCGCGACTATTTTTGATTCTTTAGATCGTTAAAAGAAAATTAATCGATTTTTAGTACCCAATTGCTTAGTACGCAACGGGGACGTGGTTTTACTACGTAATTGCACGCGTTGAATGTTCAACAATCACGAATTAATCGTTTTTTTATTAATGCGCGTTTGATGTTCCGTCGGCCGTCGCTGAATACAAGTCGTTTTAGCAACAGCATGTGCACAGCGGGCGTTTAAATCGGCATAAAACGAAAATTTTTAATTATAATTATTTCCTGCATTTGAGCAACGTTAATGCGGAAGGATTTGTGAGTGCCCCATGAAGTTTGCAATATAGCCCGGAAGTGTTGGAGATGCGCGTACTTTAAGGCAAAGTCTTTACTACTACGAGGAAATGATAATTATGAAATTGTTTTCTTGTTTGAAACATATCTATTGTTTGCTGTTGTCAATAAAACACAATGTATAAATTATAATCTCATTCATATTTCTTTGTGGTATCCTCTTTGTAGAGTGTTCAGTTTTAAATAATATGGCATATAAGTCTTATGTGAGCGGGTATAAGATAAGTAACTGTTGTGGTGTGACATTTGTTTTAAAAATGATAAAGTAGAAACATAGGCTAGAAGAATCAAATGTAGTGACAAAACACTCGGTGGTCGAGTGGAGACGTGCACCTGCTGGCATGCTTAGCAGACACGGATCTTGAATCAGGTATAGAAGGCATTTTCTCAAATATAAAAATATCAAGGTGTAATTTGGGACATATATAAGATTTGTAACGAAATATAAGAAGTTGAAATACAAGTGGAGGCAATATGTATAGATGTAAGAAGTAAATGGGAGAACAGGAGAACAAGAAAAATAGAAGAAGTCCTAGTAGAGAATAGGAAGATAGAAGGGAAGAGAACAGAGAGTAGAGTAGAGACGAGGGAGGGAGATAGAAGAAAGAGAACAGGGGAGGAGGATGGATTTTTAAATTTTTTTGGCACGTGTCGTTTATAAGACAGAGTCACAGGTCGTCTCCCAGAGCGCCTCCGGCGCTCTGATCCGATCGCCCACTGCTTCGATGCGTCCGTTGCTCACGGCCATCCTACAGCTACGATGTCTCTGCGCTTCATCCCCAGGGTGCCTCCAGGCATATCAACAATTTTTATGGTGGGGATCATCCCGAGGTGGGAGGAACTCATATAAGGACATCCTTCTAAGAACTTATAAAAATATTTCTAGAAGTTTTAAGTCTCGTCTCAAGAGGAGGAACGCTTAAAAAAATATTCTTACAAGTTTTGACCTGTAGCTGGAAATGAAGAAGAAGAGTACTGTCATACAGAGTTACTTAACAATATTTGCCAAGTCATCCTGAGAGGAGGGAACTCTCTTAGAGACCTGTTCCTATGAAATGATAGAGGGCGAGCACACAAATCGAAGTCAATATATCTTACACTATTTCTTTTATTAATAGAATACAAGTATAGATTTTACAAGTCAAGCTTGAGTATGTCGCCATATTGAAACAGGACTTTGACCACCTGCTTAGCCCTTTTACAGCACAAAAAGCAAATACTACTTCATAAAGTTATACCGGAATAGTAAAATTAGTAAATGGCCAATTTTCTAGGAGATTGAAATGGAAACAAACATACAGAGTGTTACAAAGGAACATTTAAAGTGCAAACCAAAAACTTTCCAACACTACAAACGCCGCTCGTTTTTCACTCAGCGATTAGGAAAATTAATATACTACAGGGTGTTACAAAAGAAAATTTTAAAAGTGCAAACAAAAAGCTCGAAACTTCATAAACATTGCTAGTTTTTCACTCGACAAGCAAAAGAAAACTAATATACAGGGGTGTTACAAAATAAATCAACTTCATTTTAAAATATACGTCAACAGCAAACTTTCAAACACTACTAAATATGGCTATTTTTCACGTGACAATCACAGGAAAATTAATATACAGGAGTATTTGCAATAAGATAATATTTTTAAAAGGTACAAGTAGATAAACATATATCATAGGCACTTTTCGCGTGAACTCATAAAATTAATATACAGGGGTGTCACACACAAAAAGAAAAATCCCAAATTACAGAAGATGTATTGCAGAGCAAAAATGTGTCTAATAGCTTTTTCACTGGACGCTAGGGACATTTTAGATACAGAGGTAGTATAAAAGAAAACTATTTAAGAATGGTGTAAAAGAAGGATACTTTAGAACATTTGCCAGCCAAAATACTAAGTTCTACCCAAATGGATTCTACTAAATATCAGAAATTAAAATGTTAACAATTTTCCAACTGGAAATAGAAAAACACTGCAGACAATTGACATAGCGAAAAAACAGGGAACAGTGATGCGATTTTGTACAAGCATAAAACATAAATACAAATTTAATTGTACATCATCACGGCAATAGGCGACCAGCATGTAGAAATGCCAAGCATGCGACCATCTCGAACTATTTAAAAAATGTTCATTTAAACTTGCTATTAATAGCAAAATTCGTGAAACGATGTGGAAAAATGTAAATATGAATATATAATACAACGTATATATGATATATACAAATTATTACTACTTACGAATCGGCAACGAGAGTACAACACAACTATCAATATAGCTTGCATTACGGAATTTTTTAACAATAAGTTTTCGATACAGGGGATACAGAATTAAATTCTGCATCTAAAAATTATTCCGAACTTACAGTAAGACCGCGTTCGCGTGTTATAATAAAAAAACTACAATTCTTAGCGCAACGAGGTACAAGTGCTTTGTACACACACAACTATCAATATAACGCATTACGGAATTTTTTTAACAATAAGTTTCGATACAGGGAGATACAGAATTAAATTTCTGCATCTAAGAGAAAATTATTCCAGACTTACAGTAAGACCGCGTTTTGCGTGTTACAATAAAAACCACAATTCCTAGCGCAACGAGTACAAATTGCGTATACACACAATTATCAATATAACTCTCGTTACGGAATTTTCTCATAATAAATTTCGATAAAGGAGAGAATACAGATTTAAATTCCGCATGTAATAAAAATTATTTTGAACTTACAGTAAGACCGCGTTCGCGTATTTATAATAAAAACTACAATTCCTAGCGCTACGAGTATAAGTGCGTATACACACAACTATCAATATAACTCGCGTTACGGAATTTTCTCGCAATAAATATATATGGATACAAGGGCGAGATTTCTACGGCGCCCCTAACTGCAGTTCAAACCCATACAGAAAAAACCGGCCAAATGCGAGTCGGCGCCCCTTAAAGTCCGGCGCCCCTGGGCAGTTAGCAACCGCGCCATGCCCTAACGCCGGTACTGTACGAATGTACCGGATAATACAGATCATAGGTAAATATTGAAATATGGAAGACCACGCGGTTGAAGTGTAAGCCAGAATATTATAGGTAAAACATACAAATATGTTCTTCATAGGGTGGAAGCGAAAAAATACGAGAACATACCTTAGCGTAATATAAGATTTTCTTTTTGTAAATCCAGTATAAGATGTAAACAGATGTAATTATGCGTATAGTAGCATCGATGAAAACACTAAATTGATAAGAGGCAACGCGAAGTTGATAGAGTATCCGACGGCCGAAGGTACATCACACATGCAGAGGTAAATCTACGTATGTTCAATCCTCGTTCGAACACCGCATATCACCGCAGTGCACAGACGTACAGTACAACTATGAATATTATGCAATGAAACAAAGAAATATTGATAAACCAAATGGATCGCGAAGAGTGCGCGCCCGGATAACCTGACGATGTAAATGAGACTAACACCGTGCGAAAGCCGACCGCGTGCGTCGACAATGGGGTGACGGTGCACAAGTTGAACGAGATAAGAAAAACTTGTTTGTTTATAAACACTGATATTGTTAGTGTTGTTAGTGTTAACAATACCGGTTAGCAGTGCAGAAAGCGAGAATATTCTTACATTGAATATTTATTTATTATCTACTTACTTTTATTGCTGTACTATAAATTGCTAGAAAATATATACATTTCGGGAAAACTAATATAATATTTACTATATCAGATTTAAATAACACAAGTAGATAATCCTGCAATAATGTCCCATTCACATTACGTTAAATACTGTTTATTATGTGCAACAAAACAATAACAATGCCTAGAACTTAGAAACTATCGCACATATTTAAATAGGTACATTATCTAATAAAGAATTTCGTGAAAATTTTGGATCTGCAAGCATAAGAAACATCAATGTTCAATTTCTCTAAAGAAAGGACTTAGGACTACACACTTATGTACCTCAAAACGCAGAAAATGAATAAACTAAATTAGGCACGACTAGTTTAATTATTTCACTTACCAGTGTACTAAACAACGCACATCCAAGGTATGTTGATACTGAAATAAAGAAAGACCAATATTATTTATACATATGTATCATAAAAATCGTGTGTATAGAAAAAATACGATTATACTATGATACTAACAAAATATCAAATTAACACACAACAAAAATGTTTTGCATATGTACAAAATTGAGTAGGAATAGTCAATAATACTTGCAGAAACACACATAACTCACTAAATTAGCGTTTGCAGAGATTCCGCACGCTATAAATTATTAACAAAACACAAAACTCGCCTATTAACAGTAAATATAGGCGATGATCAATCATAAATAACACGATTTACGAAACTTAACAAGAAACGTGGCTCGCAGCATGAGCGAGAGAAGCGTGCCGACATCGTAGCGACGGAACACAACAAATTTAACTTGCACGACTATATTTAGTTAAAAAGTGTACAGTTGCGCCACCTAAGCGGACCAAAGAGAGTTAAGAAGTACATGTATAACTATAACATAATTTTAAAATTGATTCTGATAGTTAAATTTAATAAGTCTTAAAGTTAAACAAATCAATGGAATTATATTAAACAATTAAACAAATTAACAAAAAAATTTCATAATAAAATGTAGTAGAATCCTAAGATCCACGTAAACCGGACGCCTTGTAGACGCAATTGTTAATTATGTATGTATGACGATTGCTTTGATTTTACATACAAATAAATAAAAGTTTATGTACGCTGCGGCCAAATAACGGGCAACCGAGAACTTGTAGCGATGCCATGCGACAATGTTTCACAACTTCATTGCGCACGTTGAATGCAAAAACTTGTTCGAAACGAAACACAGATAACCGCTTCTTATAGACAACAATTGGATGTCAACAAATGGAATGTTATATTCTAATCCTATCTCCATGTGACGTCAGCCTATTCCGAAAATTTATACACGCTTATGTTTACAAACAATACAAAATGAATTTGAGCAAAGAAATGATTACTTATTCAAAAATTACGCATATAACTAATTGTAGATATTTGTTAGCAAATGTAAGAATGCTTCCGACAATATAATTTAGATAATAAAAATATAATTTACCTTAATCAATATCAAATAATGATAAATCACTACACAAACTTGCACCCGCACAATGAAAACGTTTGGCTATCGCAAGATATGATCTAACAATGATGGAAATTCATAAATCGACAAGCAGGCCCTGATCGCATCACGATCGAGCTGGCGCGGACTGGCCCGAACATACGAATAGTTTGAGGTTACATTCATGTTATTAATCGTCTCTGAAAGCATCGCAGTGTGCTTATGTTTACATCCAAATCATTTGTTTTGTAAACCGCATCGTGAATATAAAATCGAAGATTGCTGTAAGTAACTTGTTCTTTCGACATCGTCGATTATTCACCAGTTAACAAAGTTTGTATTATGGCAAGCAGTGCGACTCCCGAGAAGTTGCACGATCTTCTGGACGGCGCCGACTTTGAAACGGGTGGCATAAATACTATCGAGGATATGAATTTCTCCCGAGGGACGTACAATTCAGACCCGCATCTTATCCCACGCATCCAAAAGGTAACATACTTCCAATTTATTGATATTTATTTCACAATTGTTTTCTCCAGTATCTGGAAAATGCGGAGAATGTGGATATCTACACAATGTCTGATGATCTACAAAAATTATACCCTAAAGATTATGGTAGGCGTAAGAGGAACGCTTTCCGTTCACTTGTAAAGAAAGGATTTGCATTGATTACACAAACACAAGGGAGTGAAAATTCAGATAGCTCAGATCTCAGTCAAGAAAGCCATGATGAACAATTGAATGTAAGAGTTTGTTTTACAGCATGAATGCATTTGTTTCATTTGTTTAATTATTTCAAGTCTTCTAATTCTACATTACATAACCAACTGCTTGAGATGTATGGAAGAAGACCTCAACATGCAAATGAAAATGAACCAATAGATATTTCAAGTGATGAATCTGAGCCCCCAGCAAAAAAATCCAATGGTGCCTCTTCCTCTGACCCGAATCAAATACCAATACAACTGCAGGTTCCACGCAATTTTATTAATCACAACAATCTCAAAGAGCTGTCAGTAACTAAAATCAACACTGATAATACTAACAGAACGCCGCATAGTGTCAGTCGTAAGCGTAAAATGAGCAATTTCCATGCTAACACTCCCGGAGCGGTGACACCCGCCGCGCCGTCATCACCTGCACAGGTAAAACACATTTCTAGGAAGCAACGCGGTCAACCCGCGGATTTGCAAATGTCCACAATGACGTTCAAAGACATCGGCGGATTGGAGAAGGTGCTGGAAAATGTGTGCCAACTCCTGGTACACATTAAACACCCTGAGGTGTATAGACAGATCGGCATCTCGCCACCCCGTGGCTTCCTCCTGCATGGTCCGCCCGGTTGCGGTAAAACTCTTCTTGCAAACTGCATCGCAGGCGAGTTACAAGTGCCTTTGCTGAAAGTTTCTGCGCCTGAGTTGGTCGCAGGAGTGTCTGGCGAGAGCGAGGAGCGTATCAGAGAGATGTTTGAGCGGGCCGTGGTTGCCTCTCCTTGTATTTTGTTCATCGATGAGATCGATGCCATCACCCCGAACCGACAGTTCGCACAGAAGGATATGGAACGACGAATTGTCGCGCAATTACTCACATGCATGGATGATGTGGGCAAAACCGAGAACGGCGATCAGGTCCTCGTGATTGGCGCGACAAATCGTCCCGATAGTTTAGATCCCGCTTTGCGACGTGCGGGCCGTTTTGATCGCGAGGTGTGCCTTGGCATACCCGACACCAAGGCCCGCTTGAACATCCTGAAAGTTTTAACAGTCAATCTTCGCCTTGATGATGACTTTGATTTCGAAACGCTGGCGAAGTACACGCCTGGGTTTGTTGGAGCTGATTTAATGGCACTCACCAGAGAGGCCGCCATGGTGGCTGTAAATAGAGTTTTCGGGGAGATTAAGGAGAAAAAACGGTTGGAGAATGCGATCGTCGAAGAAACTGCACGCGCGTCCAAACCTGCAAAGAAAGTCGAGGAAGTGAAGGCATGCGAGACTGAAATCATTGTTGACGAAGGTGGGGATGATCTCACTCCGGTGGTGGTAAAGGATAAGATTGAAGGAGATCTGGAGAATGCTGTTGTCGTGATCGATGATGAAGTGGCCCACAAAATCAGCGCGCAAGGAGGAGGAGATGCGGAAGTTCTGCCTAGCAATGGCGAGAAGCCACAGACACCAGAAACTCAAGAAGTGGAAATGAAACGGGAACCTACGCAGCTAGAAGAGATGATTTCATGGTTGCATAATGATGCACCATTGAATGCCGCACAGTTAGGCGCTCTATACATTACCGATATGGACTTTGCCAAAGCCTTGAAGTTTGTACAGCCATCAGCGAAGAGGGAGGGTTTTGCAACCGTTCCGGACGTTACCTGGGATGATGTTGGCTCCCTGCGAGACATTCGTGAAGAGTTACAGTTGTCTATTCTGGTAGAGAAATACAAAATTAAATTTAAAACTTTATACTAATTTGTCAACATTTAATTTAGGCACCTGTAAGACACGCGGAGCAGTTTAACTTATTGGGACTGTCTACTCCAACTGGCGTGCTTCTTTGTGGACCGCCTGGTTGTGGCAAAACTTTGTTAGCCAAAGCTATTGCGAATGAAGCTGGAATTAATTTTATCTCTGTGAAGGGCCCAGAACTTCTAAACATGGTAAGTTTTTTAATTAAACTTTTTTACTTACATCAAATACATTTTTCTTATTTAGTATGTTGGTGAAAGCGAACGCGCAGTGCGCGTGTGCTTTGAACGGGCTCGAAATTCCGCTCCCTGTGTGATATTCTTCGATGAATTAGATGCACTCTGTCCGAAGAGGAATGACTCTAGAGAAGTATGCAACCATAAAACAATCATGAGACAATATTATAATACTTTTCTTAAAGGGCGGATCCACAATGCGCGTAGTTAACCAAATGCTTACCGAAATGGATGGTGTTGAAACTCGACATGGTGTGTATCTGCTTGCTGCCTCCAATCGACCAGATATCATTGATCCCGCCGTTTTGCGTCCTGGAAGACTGGATAAGATTTTATATGTTGGATTGCCCACCGCTCAGGATCGTGTGGATATTCTGCGAACAATAACAAAGGTAAAAAATACATCAAAAACTTAACTTATCTTCCTATACACTTACATTGTCTTTCTCCTTTTCTCAGAATGGCACTCGTCCACTTCTGGCTGACGATGTGGATCTTGAGTTAATCGGTACTTCCGCTGAATGCGAAGGATATACTGGAGCTGATTTAGCTGCACTTGTTCGCGAAGCCGCTGTCCGCGCGCTGCGCGAAGTGATTCTCGATGGTGAAATTGCGCACGGCAAGCCGGTTATCATCACGACCGAACATTTCAAACATGCGGTGGTGAAAATCCGACCATCAGTTTCCGAAAAAGACCGCCAACACTATGCCAAGTTGAAGAAGGCTTACTCGGCGCGTCAACCCGACGTCGAGGAGATGGAGTACTCTTAAATTACAATTTACTCGTTTTGTTTCTATTGTTTAACTAATTTTCGGATTTTTCGCAAATTGGATCAAAATAAAGAATTCAAATTAGATTTATAGATGATGAATCCCTATTTTTGGCACTTGTGTAGATTTCGGAAATTATAAGACGGAGAGAATGAATAAATTTGGCAACAATTGGTTTCTGTCGCAAAAATTGCATTCGTTTGTTCGGCTGGTTCCTGAGTGAATCCTTTCCAATCGGCGCTCCCATTCTTTCCTATTTTTGGTACACTTTTGTCTATCGCTCATTAGAATTTTAGATTTCGATATGTTCGCACATTTGAATGTGAGTCAGAGTTATTTCATTCATAACTCGTAAATTCTATGTGATTTGATTTCGTGCAGAGTTGTATTAAATCACGACATATTTTACGTCTACTTAGTTACTTTTATTGTAAGCTAGTAAGAGTGCGGCGCTTACAAAGGTGAAAACTGTAGACAGCAGTTCTCACCACGGCGGTAATTATATGCGCGTTGATGTGAAGCCGCGCAAAGGTTTCGCATCACGATCGGCAATTTTTCGCGTTCTTGACCTGCAAAGTGCATGCGTAAAATGAAGTAATCGTATTTTTTGTTCAGTTCGTTCTCTCACACTCGAAACTTTTGTTTAAACTTTAGCTGGATCAAAATTGTGTTTTAATTGCGCGTTGAATCTTACTGTGTACCAAACTTGCAATTGAAATGTCAGCCGCAACAATCAAAACTTGATTGGTGTTCTAGCTGTAAATACAATGTTCAATAAAAAAGAATATGATAAAAGTAAACACAAGCAAATGAAAAATTGATAATCAAACTGAAACATAAATTTACATTAGCATTTATTCAGATTATTAAGGTATGTGAAAAGTAGGAGAATGTCTGAATGTATTTCATTCTGAAAGAAAATGATTGGAAAGATTGATAACTTGAAGACCTTCTTAGAAGGATATTCATGTTTTCACAAATAATAACAAGTTACCTTTGCTGTAGCTACTTATATAATCTAAAATTAATGACAAAAACGTGCGTAATGAATTTAGCTGAATTCGTACAATCGCGCGCTGATCAAGGTTGCATCACGTTAATCATCCGTTACGCGGCTGCACATTTATAAATGCGATTACTGTTTTGATACCAATTGTCGATCGGCACTGTAAAATAATGCTGCAGCAAGTTACAAAACACGAAAAATGCCAAACCAGCGAGAACCGATGATTGCCTAAGTAGAGTTTTGTCTCGTAAAATATGCTTTTTTGAAAAAAATATGTTTTCTGTTTACGTAAATCATACGAAAAACGCGCATTTTGCAACAGCCAGTATGCAGACTTATAATAAGTCTGGCGCCCGCATAAGAACAACAGACGCGCAAAGAATCACGAAAGTAAGAGCGGTATTCTTGTGGGAATTGTTCTTCCAACACACCGCACACCGTAATACCAATTCTAATCTAATAACTTCGCCGAGGGTGGGACGTGTCTCGACGCGGTATATAAACATCCTACAGCTTCCAAGAAGACATCACACATCCATCAAACAAACAAAAAACATCCAACTAAAAGTGTAGTCATATATACATTCAATCATGCTTCGTGTAAGTGACAATCAGTGCAACGTGCTAATAACTTCGGATTTTGTGAATCTTTTTAAAAAAAAAACATGTTTCAGGTGATAACATTCTTAGCTTTGGGTTGCATGTTAGCCGCCGCTCAAGCACCACCCAATCAACCAATCTACAACCCGAACAACAACGTGCCCATCGTCAAGTACGAAAGTGAAAATAATGGCGAAGCGGGTTATCGCTACGCCTATGAGACCGGGGATGGCACCGCCGCCAACGAGGCTGGTTATCTGAAAGACCCGGACTCCCCAACCGCCCAAGGTGGATTTGCTTTACCGCTCCCGATGGTCAGCGTTTCGAGGTGACCTACACCGCCGACGAAAACGGTTTCCTGCCGCAGGGTGCACATATTCCAACACCGCCCCCAATTCCAGTAGAGATTCTTAAGGCACTCGAACAGAACGCCGCCGACGAGGCAAGAGGCATTGTCGATGATGGCCAATATCATCCGCAAATGTCGCCGGCGCAGCAGTATCAACAGCAGAATCAATAAATAATTTATAGATGATAATGAGCAGTAAACCGTCGAAAAAAGGCCAAATATTAATATATTGTACAGACTCATGCTTTAAAATAAATATTTTTGATACAATTTACGTTGTGTTACTCATTTTAGCATTATAAACATTTTGCAATACGTGTGTGAACAATGTGAAATAATTATGAATTACGCTGCGAAATGCATTAAGACCATATCTCATTGCGTAATTAAATGTATTCCATACTCAACCATTGATTACAGGCCTGTACTTTTTAATAACACTCAATTTATAGTGACGCTTATTGAAATATTTGATAAATAGAAGTCCTGCGCTGCATTAATACCGACCGCATAACGTAAACTTAAGTAAGTGACTCCGGCGTAAACAAAAGCCGCCTTGCGTAAGTCGTAAACGAAGAAAAAACGGTGCACGAGTTGCGACGTTCCCAGTTCCCATCGGAAATCGGTCGTTATTCATCCGCGATGTGCGTTCGCGTTTAATGCGCGAATGTGTCAATTAATGCAATTAGTTTGGCGCAATCGCTAAATGCAACAATTGGGAGCGGAGCGCGGCGTACTCGTATATGATGGATTGTTACGGCAATCCCGTGCGCGAGCGGTGAAAATTAAGTGGAAATGCTACTAGACAAACAGAACAAGTGCAAATTGAGACATCTTAAAGACATTTAGAACTTTGCAATCTTCAAGGCAAACTTTTTGCAAGAAATTATGCTAAGCTTATGTCAAAATCATTAAAATAATTTTCACACAGAAGAATGAAAATAATTTAAATGTGATTAATATTAAGTAGAAGACATTCACGGTATGATGAAATAAATAAATAGAAATCATGCTGCGCAGGCTCAAGTTTAAAAGCTCTAATAATGCGTGAAGCATTATCTACAACGCATAGATAACCAAACATACACAGCATACAAGGTCACGCACATCACACATATTTCTCTCTCAACTTTGGACTCTAAATTTTAGTTATTGCTTTATCATTCAGGATGCTTTCGCGACGCCTCGTCAAGTCAACACCCACCCTCAGAACGATGTCCTATATTCCCAAAAACCGATTGGATGGTAAAGTGGCAGTTGTCACGGCCTCCACCGACGGGTAATCAAATCTCTAGATTATTGTAACCAATGTTTGTAACATATAAATGTCAACAGTATTGGATTTGCAATTGCAAAAAGACTCGCACAAGAAGGCGCTAAAGTCGTCATCAGCAGCAGGAAACAGAAGAATGTCGACTGTGCGGTTGAGGAGCTAAAAGGTCAGCGCTTGGACGTTGCAGGATTCGTGTGTCACGTGGGAAAGGAAGAAGATAGGAAGAATTTAATGCAATGTGTAAACACCTTCAAGAGAGCAATTATCTGCATGCAATAATAAATGAATGTTTTAGGCAAATCAAACATTTGGTGGCATTGACATCTTAGTATCAAATGCAGCAGCTAATCCAGCAGTTGGAGGAGTACTTGATGTATGTTACATTTTGCATCAAATTAGAAATTAACAAAAACAAATAAAATTTTCAGTGTGAGGAAGCAGCTTGGGATAAAATATTTGACACAAATGTGAAGGCATCTTATCTTATTGCCAAAGAAGCCTTACCTTATATTCGCAAGCGTGGAGGCGGCAGCATCGTGTTTGTGTCCTCCATTGCTGGGTTTCAACCATTTGGTGTAAGTGTGCACTACTTATATTATTAACAAAAAAAATTCACTTAACTTCATTTTTATAACTTGGCAGTTATTAGGGGCTTACTCAGTGAGTAAAACAGCTCTTCTTGGGCTTACCAAAGCCGCCGCGCAACAGTTAAGCACTGAATGCATTAATGTCAACTGCATTGCACCAGGAATAATCCAAACAAAGTTTTCAGCAGCTGTAAGTTATTGTATTTTATATAATTTCTTTTAAACTTAATTAACTTTGAATTAAATGTTTAAAATTAGTTGACTGAATCACCTACAGCCCAGGAAGCCACATTAAGCCAAATTCCAATGGGAAGGTGAGTACTAACTTTGTTTTAAATTTAATATGTAAATGTCAATACTTTTAAAACGTTCAGGCTGGGTGAAGTTGATGATATCTCCGGAGTTGCAGCCTTCCTCGTGTCCGACGACGCGCGTTACATAACAGGCGAAACAATTGTCGCTGCCGGAGGCATGGCATCACGACTTTAAATATTTAAGTAATTTCATACCTATCCGACCATCGTTCTCTTCCTGCCTCGCGCACGAACTTCCTCAAACTTACGAACAGCATCCGCGCAATTTTTATACTCATTTTTATATGCCTCTAATATAGTGGGAAATATTTGGTCAGCAACACTGTGTGTGCTCAGGAGTGCTCTTTCTAACACATACAAATCAACACCCTTATCCTCAGCACTTGCCTCATGCTGTGACAGGCCAAAGTCAATAAATATAATTTTTAACTCCTCAGTGTTGCTGAAGTCATCTTCAGATGCTTCATTGTAAACCAACACATTGCTGGTGGTTAGGTCACCATGCACAAGCTTGTTGCTATGCATCTTGGCAAGGTATTTACCTATCTCCTGAGATATCCACGTTATTTGCTCATCGTTACCGTTTATGATGTAATCCTTTGCAGTGATGGCAAACGGGAAGAACTCCATGTGGATGGTCCGTTTGTCCAGATCCGAGGCGAAAACTTGTGGTGTTTTTAGGCCAAGAGTAGCACATGTCTTTAATGCTTTGACTTCTGCACGAATGCGCGACCTTGTTAACTGTTTATCCAATTCTGGATGGCGAAACTTCTTCGGGAACCGCTCCTTGAGGATACATGGCGTATCCTTGTAGGCAGAAAGGTAAATTCGTGCCTCGGCACCTTGTTTTAGCAGGACACAATCATCCGGTTCAGCCATACCTTTAGGTTATGTGATTTGCAAAGCGCGGGTAACACGCGACCTGGCGTGAGAATGTGGGGAAGGTGTAAGTTTTTAAATTCGCATAATTTAAAAACATTTGAAGCTACAAAAGCTAGTAAAATGAAGAAAACTATACACTATAAAGGAAACAACGCGTTCTAAATAACAGAAACGAACTTGCCACTGCACATTTGTTGTTTTCTATAAAACTAAAAACCTCCTGCGACCGTTCGCCGAGAATGAATAATCTGGGCGATTGAGCACTGTTCGCGGTCCTTTCATATCTACACCCGACCCGCAAATAATGGTGGGGGGAGGTAGTGTTAGAGAGTTAAGTAAGTTGTGCGTTTCAAACGAAGCCGGCTTTAATCGTTTTCTCTTCATCTCGCAATTTGCGGATCAGTCCAATGTATAAAAAGGCCAACGTGCTTTAGTGTCCGAGTCATTCAGCAGAATAGTTTGTATTGCGGTCACAAGAAAAGCAAATATTGAAGGATTTCCATATCGTCCGTCAGCTTGACGCTTTTGTTAAATCTTGGTATTTAATAGCTTGTATCTATACAGTTTCTGATAGAATAATGATCCGCGGCGGTCATTTCTGATAATGCTATCATGTGTTAGGAAAGGGGATAGAATAAAAAAATTAGAATCATTCTAAAAATTTCTTGTTTTGGCGAATATTACATACAATTATTTTAAATTTAACAAATATAACTTCTTTCTCTCGTTCGCTCGCTCGCTCAATCTCATATAAAACCATCAAAATATTAAACTAATCGGCGCGTGTTTTTCTTCATCATTTACATATTCATAACTAATACATAACTATAATGTACAAGAATAAAAGTACGAGTTGGTTTAGGCCCGCAATCTCTCGTTAATTTTTTATGTAAAAGTTGGGTGTAACTGCAATCTCTCGCATTTGATGTAAAAATCGTGTGTAATTGCAATCATCTGCTTTTGATGTAAAACCGTGTAAAACATTCAACCAAAATTATTCAATAGGCGTACTTCTGGCACGCATCAACCACAGCCGCTTGTCGTACATCGATGTCCTCGTCAGTTTGCAATCGACGCAGCACCGACTCCAACAGGTCGTAGTGTTGATTTTCTGGATCTCGGAAATATTCTGAAAACGAATTTTACATGGAATTATAGAATCCATTTTACCAAAAATAGAAAAACTTTAGAAATGATAATAAAAATCATAGTCTGCCTTATACAAAAGTGTCTTCATAAATATATTCGTATTGTATATGTTATAATCATGCTAATTGAAAGAATTGAACTATTGCATTTTATGAAGTCATAGTAATACTAACCGTTGTTTATCATATGTGTAACAACTGTTTGCGCCACAACCAATCGTACATTGGCGACAGGATCCCAACTAAGATCAAGCAGATGCGGCATAACATCGCTGGCAAACTGTTCGATGGGCAGTGCTTTTCCAACCAGCAACTCCCAGCTGAGGAATACAAACGTCTGGCGCAGCTTCCACTTTTTCGAGTGTGCAAACGTCTCAGCGAATTTAATTAGCATCCGCGACGAAAGTCCCGGCTCGCTGTTGATGTGCTGCAGCAACTGCGCCACAAGTTTGAGTGCCATCTGCCGCACGGCCGCCACCTTGTCGCAAAGCAGGCGCTGAGCAATGTGTGAAATATGCTTGGACGCTTCTGACGGCGTAAACATTGTCACTGACTTCAGTAACTGTTCGGCAAGCTCGTGCCGATAGCGCCAATTCAGCTTCTGATTGTTTTGCAAAAAGAACGACAGACGCGGCAGGTACATTGACCGCTTAGTTGGATTTATAAGCTGTAAGTAAATAATAATCAATAGTAATAACTCATTTTGGGGCAGTTTAAATACTCACTCTTAGAAATTGAGCAAGGTTCTTCAACACGCCGATGCGCACTTCGTCCAAGTCTTTGATAAATTCGTTGAAGATGGGAGCGAGATCATTGGAAGCAATATCGCTTCCCCAGATGATCGCCAACTCATGCAGGCTGCTGGCGAGCGTGTGGCGCACCTTGTACTGCATGTTGGCCGCCAGCGTGCCAACCGTCTCCTTCAATAAATGCGAGTTGACGCTGCCCAGCGTGAGCGCAACGGCGGGCAGCGAATAGGCACAGTGATAGGCAATGTTGTCGTCGATGTCTTGCGCGATACTCGGATCCGCCATCGAGATAAAGTGATCGATGAGAAGCTGCGGCACGATCTTTTGTGGCGGCTCCTTTAACTCCGTTATCTCGGCGCTTTCGCCGTCTAGTAACACATCTGCAAAATGCACAACATTTTAACACACTCATCTACAAATTCAACGCGACGTTCTTTTATCCCGTAAAAAAATCAGTGATTACTAAAAATATCTCCATTTGATGTGTCGGAAGACCGTCGTAATCAAAATGTCATCATCGAAGACTACAAGAGTTCAGAACTCGCATTTATTAATTGCTTTATTAGTGGCAGAATCAGCTTGCATGATAAAAATAATAATTTTGTCCAGAAGTCTTGTAGAATGAAGATTTTTTGAAAATGGCGGTAAAATATTTACAATTACCTGATGGCGAATCAGCTTTGAAGGTTGCGTCCGCGGCAGCCGCAACAACAACGGTTTCGTTAAGATTGTTTGTTTCAAAATCAGTTTCAGTTTTGCAAAAAGCGTCCGTGTTCTAAAAACAAAAACATAAAAACACAGTTAGTACAGATTATTCCAAGCACGCATGTAAGTGAGCGATAAAACATGAATGAAATTTCAAAGCGATTTTAATTATCATGCACGGAAAACTTTCTACGCTGCTCAATTATAAATCTGCCACATGTTTGTTCTGATTGTTAATAATGATCCATATAAAACACAAACGAAAGCAAATTTCATACCGAAATTAAACATGACGAGATTCTGCTGTGTACTTTTTTTAAACGGAATAGATTTTTCAAACTGCGCCAAAATCGGCAGAGAGAATAGTTACCTCTTGTGCGGATGGTAAATCGGTAGTGTCAGAAGCAGTCTTTTCAATTTCAATTCCTGCTACAATATTAGGATCCAAAGGCATATCTGGAGGCACATACCAATAATTATGCGAGTTGTATAACTCCAAACCGTCCTCATCATTATTACCTTCGGGCGTCGCCGCAGCGCAAGCGCCGCCCGAATCGGCGCGATCGGCTTCATCGCCACTGCTACTGCAGGTAGCTTGTTCGCTCCGGCTCAGATCGACGTTCTCTAATTGATCGCCGCTCGCCGGATTCGAAATTGTGCTAATCTCACTACCTAAATTATCACATTGTTTTTTGTTGTCGTCGGTCGATTTGTTGCTACGTAAGATCATCTCATCGTTGTCGAAGTCCTCTGTTAGCATGAAATCGTCCAGGCCCTTAAGAATCACGTCCATCACCCACGCATTGTTTGGATCGGTTTTCCTGTCGTCTTTGAGTGGTGGTGATAGCTCCTTCGGCGCGGGAAGTTGTTCTTCAGGAGGTGGCGGCGTCTTTTGCGCGTTAGACTGTTCATCGAGTGGTGGTGGCGCTTCCAACTGTGGCAGTTCTTCGGGTGGCAGCGGCTGTTCACCTTCCTCTGTTCGTTTTCGAACGAAGCCAACGTCATACGAGTCGTCGTCCAAGTCATCCAAACAGAGGTAAAACAAATTCTTTACTTCATCCATTGGCGTGCATGATGAATTATTTATTCTGTAATAATCAAAGTGTTCAGGTTAAATTTAATCATGATGAACATTTGTTAATATAAATATATTGAAGTAAGAAATCAGAAAACACGAATATTCTTCATATATATCTCGGAAGACCGTCGTGGAAAGTATCATCATGCAAACTATGATCAATCATTCTACATACTCAAAAGATTATTCAACTTACTTAAATTCGCTGCCATAGCAGACGAGAACCAGCTCGCCCATATTATTATACGCAAGTGATGTGATTGTCGGCTCCGCAAAGGTGGAGATGAAAGGACCGAGTGTTTGAAACGCAGAGATGCGCACCCACCGACATTTGTCGCGTAAGAGACGCGCGAACGCCGGCGCCAGTACCATCTTCCGAAGATCTGGCGAGCACGCGCACGATACAGACATCGCCACATCGGCGCATGCTTTCCGCACGCCCCAGGCCTCATCGTTGCACAATTTTGCGTAGGCTATGAACTGCAACAAATGTTTCTATTAGTTTAAATTCCTTGAAATATCAGGTATTATTAATTGCAAGAAGGCAATCAGTGATTACTAAAAAAATATCTCCATGTGATGTGTCGGAAGACCGTCGTAATCAATTATCATCATATAAAGATAAAACTCATACTATCTTTTAAAACTAACGATACTCACCAGTACTTTTTCAAAAGAGGTCGACTAATAATGGCGCAAAAATCGCCAACATGCGATGCGCAAATCTTACGGACATAAAATTTCATTGCGGCACACAATTCGACGAATCTGTCGAGGAACACTCGTTCGGTGACATCTCGCCCGAGAAGTGGCACAACCTTTGCCATCAACTGCAAAATAGTAAAACAAACACATTAAACAGGTACTAAATCGCAACATTAACAAACACGCAAAAATTAAATGCCATTGGTTCCGCTGTTGTTTCTGAACAGCATAACGCTCATCAAAGCTGGCTGTGATATGAAACAAACAAACATTTCACATCCAACTGATGAGAGCCATACTACACACCGCACACAATCCACCATCATCTTTCCTCTTTCGCCCAGCATGGCCCAGTAGTAGCAGCACTCAACCGGCGTCATGAATTATGCAGCGCTCATCAAAGCTGGCTGTGATATGTGTCAAACATCCATTTCACATCCAGTTGATGAGCGCCGCAACAACTCCTCCAAAAGTGCCGAAAAGTAGGGGAGCGGAAATCCCACACGTCGATCGGGCGCGCAACAACTTAACTCGTCAAAATGGCTGTGATACCTTTGCAATCGTGGGGGTTTCACAACCAAATTGACGGGAAAGGCATTCGCAGCAACGAATCACTAAAACACACTAGAACAAAATTCAGCAAGTAACATTTTCACTTGTTTTTCATGTTGATTGGGGCTACACCGCCGAGCTCATCAAAGTGGCTGTGATAACTGTACGAAAAAAACAGATTTCACAACCAAATTGACGGCACGGCCATGCGCAATTGGCAGTGAAAACAAACTGAAGAAAACAATTGAAGAATGAATGGAACAGCTATGCTCATCAAAGCTGGCTGTGATAGCTAAAAAGTCCTACAACAGACCAACTCTGAAGAGTATAGACAGACCAACTTTACCGAGACAGCTGAAGCGGATGATGCGGTTATTCTCATGTGCAACATGAAAGACAAGGTAGTGAGACACCAGGAACTGCCACATCTCACTACCCATGTCTTTCATATTGCAGATGACTGTTTGCAAGATGATGAGTGTTACTGAACTAAAATGTATCTATCTGGCTGAGTACTTACAGTCACTCCGTCGGTGACCATGGACTCCTTCCGTGTCAACGCCAGGATCGTTGGACAGACCTGGATCTCTGCTTGCGCCTTGCTGACTAGTCCCTGCTCAAGTAACGTGAAGAGCGCGCGTTGCGCATGTTTCCGCACCTGGTTGTCGTTGTCGCCGAGGTTGTTCACCACCATCGAGAGCAGGTATTCGCTGGTGATGTTTGCCAGCGCCGGCACTTTCTGCGCGCATTTAAGCGCCATGCCGGCCAGGCTCGGGATATGTTCCAGCGCGTCGATGCGCACCACAACTTCTGCAAAAACAGAACAAACCTTGTACAACACATGTGAGACGCATGGGCATATCGTTGATATCGCAATGCGGAAGAAGAGCTGAAACATACCGAATGTGCACCGCGTTGTTTCCCGGCGCGCACGCTGGAAGTAGCGAGCGGAAGCGGGTCTCGTACCGGGGGACGCGCGCTCTCAACACGAGGTTACCACACCACCATTTTGACGACTAGCGGACGCGTTCGGCGTACAGAAGCCATGCCGCGCGTGCGAGGTTAGCCGCCCAGTCGGGTACGGACAGCAGAGACCTGTCCGCATTCCTGCAGGACATGCACTGCCATAACGTCGCGGGGGGAAGCACACACCACCACATGAAGAAACAACGTAAATTCGCGGGCAAAACTCACGCGCGACGCCGTTATGGAAGCCATGCGGGCGGCGTGCGTGCCGCTTCGGCGAACTGCGGCTACGCGACGGACGCGCCGAGAGCCAGTCGTGTAGCGAGATTAGTTCATGCCAGGCGCACCTGGCGGCGCCACGCGCGAGATCGTTGCCCCGCTCGTGTGTGCCCGCCGCGCGCGCACTACTACGTTTCATTGAGGCTTCTGTCGCGGCGCGCGGCTCAGCAACGCCCAGCGTCGAGCGTCCCAAACGCGCGCCGCACAGTTTACCGTTGCGGCCGGCGCATCGCGTCGCATTCCTAAACGCGCGTCTCGCAGAGAACGCACGCAACACACACTACACGTCGGGATTCTAAACATCGACGCGCGCGCGGCGATGCACACACATATTGCATTCACATGCCTGCGCTCGATGATGATGATAATTTCTAAACTGGTTCTCCGCCCGGCGTGCAGCAAACCTGTGGGTACGCACGTTCCACGAATCGAGCTCGTTGGCGCCCTTTCCAACTTTTCAACATCAGCGCCAGCGCCTTGTTACAAAATGGCAGTTGGTTCGTTTTCAATTAAAATCAAATCAACCTATTACATTTGATAATCGTTTACAAATGGTTCCGGGGAATGCAATCAGCGTGCATGCGGCAGCGTGCGGTTTTGATTTGCGTTGGGCCACAATATTGCGGACAGTGTGTCAAGTTCAGGGAGACACACGCAGCGCGTGTCGCGGAAACTACGCACCGAAAATACGCGACCTGCCGCCACCGCCCCCACAATAATCGATATTAGCCTGTTCGCACAAATTTGAAAGAAAAACGGTCGAGGTAAGCAGCAGCGCAGCAACTTGACATCAATTTCGAATTTGACTCATCCCAATAAATTCTATAATTAGCAGAGACGACGCGCAGCGCGGGTTCGCTGGGGGTGTACGCCGCATTTCTTAGGGTGCCCCCCCAAAACTATTTATACACCGTTTGCAGGGGGCCCACGTGTGCAGTTTCCTGTCGTCGCCGACCGGAAGCGCGCTGCCCTCCGACCAAAATAGCTCGCACATTCCTTCTGGATTACTCGCTACTCTAGACGACGCGACACGTTCACTCCTCCTCCTTTCTATTCCTGCGGCGAAAGAAACACAAGAGATGCGTCTCTGCAGCAGAGCAAGGGGGTCTCAGCGTTACGCAACAAATCTCCCGAGTACTTGTTAAACACGGCCGCCACGTGCCTGAAATGCATCCCACGAGATGCGGAGGACAATCTAATTTTACTTTTGTAATTCAAACTTCTATAGTGTTGTGAATAACGCATGCATTTCGAGAAAAGCAATCGATTATTGCTGGTTTACAGTGAGATGATGGTAACGGAAATTCCATTATTTGCATTACACCGTCACTCCTGACATTTTTCTGTTGTTACTCATTGTCACAATCGTTCATTCATGTACGATTACGGCGCCGGCGGCTGTGCACAGTGAGCATTGCATTAAACATTTCATGATTCACACCGTGCACCGCATTCCAATGTTAATAATTAATTAGTAATCGCCAATGCCAATCTAATACGTGCGCAGGTTTATACTTCGCAATACTACAGGTAAATCTGCAAATTGTTTGTGTAAGAAATATTGAAAAAATAAACTTACCAGCATCATGTACTAATTTTCCAAAAATGTCCATAATCTGAGGAAGATCGGTGCTCAGCGGTTCGGCGGGCGCCATTTGAATAATCTCCAGTAATACCGTTGCCACATACTTTCTGTAATTAACGAAAACCACTGAATATTAACACTCATCCTCACTAGGGACGCACATATTCGAAAAGTTTCAAACAAAAACACGTGGTTCACGCACGAGGGCGCGAAATGCATTGGCGGGAAATCTCCAATTGCCAGAGCGCGTCGGCGCCGTTAGCTGAGCGAGTGAGTGAGTGTGGCGCGCACGCGCAGCACGCACGACGCGCGAGATTGGCGGGAAGCTTCGCGGCGGATGCGGGCGCATCTCGCGATCCAATTGGACGTGCGCATCGGCATCGATGAATGAAATTATCTTACGTCGCAGACGCGCGCGCGTACACGCTCTCTGTGACGTCGCATGCGCCTTTTCTCGCCCACGCACGCGCGCGCGCGCGTCTCCGCCGCCTGCCTTATCTCGCACGTAATTCGCTCAAGATTCCACCGAGCGCGCGTCACCTTATCTACGCGCGACGAATGAATAATTATCATCAGGTACGGAGAGATAAAGTAAGGGAGACTCATCAGTTAGAACAATACAGAGGTTCGCGGGGACGAATTGTCATCGCGATGAAGAAGAATCCTCCACCAGCAGCGTGCCACTGATTCGAGTGGGGTGGGGCCCAGCAATGCCGATCGCTTCCAAGTTGGAAGTTGGGTTCCCAAATTGGAATTGCTAATGCGAGCACGCACCCGCGAGCCACCGAGTGTGCGAGCGAGACGTGCGCGCGCCCGAGTCTCCGCCTCGTCGACGCGAGCTAAGATGGCCGCGGCGCTCTCGGTGCACATACTACTACAACACACGCAAATATGCTTTGCTCCCTTGGGGAAAAGCCGATATTAAAGATTCATGATTGGCCGTTCGCATCGAAATATTCGAGATTGAATTGGAATGCAAACTCCACTCAATGTGCGATATGCAATTAGTCCGGGGTGCAAAGATGGAGCGGAAATGGAGAGACAACGCCCCGGGGCCGAGTGGATGATGATGGGCCGCTGCTCTCCGGCACTTGCGTCAAAAGTCTAGAAATATGAATTTTAATACCGTCCAATGTAATTATGCCACCCCAAACGAGAAGAGGCCAGGTGTGACACTTTCACGCCGCGAAAAATTTGCGAAAGCCATTAGGCAACAATAGCCGGGAGCACAATGCGCGACAATGTCGGCTAGGGTGAGAGTGCGTTGCGTGCGTGCAAAAACGGACATTCCTAGCATCGTGGGGCGTGTCCGGATTGTGCCGTTTCAGGTACGAAAACCAACCAGTCGTCGTCCCGATGGAAAAATTCGCACCATCAGCACAATTTCACGTAGCAGCAGCGAAACGTGACAAACAATCAAACTGACCGTCTCCTCTCTTCCTCGACCATCACACATCGCACAAGAAGTGAGCATAGAGAACGCGTCAGCGAGCGCGGCATGTGTGACCTGCCTTCGGAATGCGGGTCTCAGACGGAATCACAACATACAACACGCACGCACACACACGTGAAGACACACCAACCGTTGTCCAGTCAACAACCTTTACGCTCCAACCCGAAAGAGTAGTCCGTAGATAATCCAGAACTAGTCCAGAATCGATATACCAAAGCGGCGGCGACATTCCCGGAATGTTCCGGTGCGTTGACCGCCGCACGGCGCGCGTCCACCTGTCGATTGCGGGCCACGCCACGACGTGCGCAACAATTGACGTTAACACTATGTTTACATTCATAAATCGCCAACGCGTGATGCAAACTGAAAGCGATAACAACTACACACACACAAACATACAACTACAGATGAAAAAACAGACGCAGAATAATTAAATGCCACGCACATTTGTTGATGTGCCCAATTAGAAAACGTATCGAATGTTTGTCGGTCGGGCCGATACAAAGTGAAATTTCAGAGAGGTGATTGATGACGGCAAGGCCGCGCCAAAGGCCTTGCCGCCGAAGAAACCAAACCAAAGAGGAGGAGGACGAAAAAATGCGCTGCTCTAGGCCAGCGCCTAGGCGATTCTTCGCCGCTCGGCGACACACTAGCCAGGCGCACGCACGCACCACGCACTTGTCGGTCGGGATGATTGAACTTTCAAGAATCTCATAGTATACGGCCGGCGAGCGCGCGTAACAGTAAACGGTCGGCGTTTTCATACCAAACGCGAGAGAGGAGCCTTGGTATGTGTGGTCCGAGTGGGGCATCATCCATGAATGGATGGATCATGGAGCTGGATGCGTAACAAGGTCGACAATCACACTCACAAACATCAACAACAACAACAACAACATTTAACAACAATTCATACAAACAAAGCAATTTCAGATACCACGCTATCGGCGCGGCGCTTTTTTCATGCTACGAATCGAGAGTAGATCTCTGGCCGTGGGCCGGAAGTGACGCCATCGCGTGGAATGCGCACGCTGTGCTGTATGAATGGAACAAAACGCAACAGAGGCGTCATCGCGTCACCATCACATCGTAGTAGGACGAAGAGTGTGTCGTCATGCCAATAAAGCCAACTCATAGATACATACGCAAAACCTTCCAGGATATACCTATTACAAATATCAAATCAAGAATAAATGCATCATTTATGCATCCGTATAGATTATTTGTTCAGTTTTCCATTAATCTCAACATGATAAATTCAACTCGCACGTGTTTTTTGCGCCTAGATAGAATTATTTGTTAGTGTGCGACAGCAGACGATGCCAGTTTGTAGAACAACTAATATATTTATGGTGGTTTATGGGTCGTCGTTCTTTGCCTAGCAAGAGAGCCTAGCGTCTGAGATGCGTTCGAATATTGTGTATACCACACACACACACGCGAGATCAGAGAAGAAAGGAGAGATGATGCTAGCGATGTTCTCTCCGACTGCATTCTGCTTGATCGGAGAGGAGAGTAGGGACCAATCGAGCGTACGCGTTTGTCTGCTGTGCGCCGCGCGTGTGTGTTTGTGTCGGTGTCGTGCACAACATAACGGCCCTCGCATTCCAGCCAACACGGAACAAACACTCTCACGGTCCCCGAATGGAGGCCACAATTTCACTTCAACCACATGTTCAGAGAGAAACACGACGTGCCGCGCTCGATGATGATAAAATGGCATCTCGAAAAAAAAAAAAAACAACACAATATGCCGCCGCGGGCCACCACCGACATTTCATTTTGTGTAGGTACTCAAATCCATGCTGATCCAATTAATTCAAAATTTTCATTATGCGTTTAAAAATTTGGAAAAAAATGGTTATTTATTGTTTTGGTGGAGGAGCGCGCGTGTAAACGCAGGACCTGCGTTGTTTTTGCCTACATTTCGTCATCGAGCAGCAGTAGAGAACGACGTAAAAGTTCCGTGGCGCGCGCGCGCGCGCGATATGGAAAGCGAGGCGCAATCCGAAAACATGCACGCGAACGAGGCGAAAGAAACGACGCAGTTCTAAGGCGGCGTAACCATGACAACGACCTCGCGGTTCAAATGCGCATTTCCACTTAATAAACACCACACACACAACGCACCACACCATTCATAATTAGCGCTGCGATAAACTTGTTTAAACAATATGCAACTTGATTCCTCAGCAGTGATTCATGCTTCTTTTATTTTCCCTGCCGCCTCCGCACCCCACCCCGCAGCACATATCCATCATCCACACACACGCTGCTCGACGTTTACAACAAACGTTGTGTTTCGAAGGTGCAGCAGCAGCAACGACGCGCGCGCGCGCGTCCATTCAAAAAGACGACGCCGTTAAAAAGGTCGGCTTACCTCGGATGCGCCCAATAAATGATTTCCGGTTGAGCCACATCCTGTGGCGCGGAGTCATGTGTCGCGTGTGCACGTGTTCACATCCTGTGCGTCCCCGACGACGAGTCCTCCCGAACAGCGACGACGATGCCGCCACAAACAAGCACCAAACATCCTCGCCGAATACACTGGCATCCATAATCGACTCGCAACTTCCGGTGCGCGCGCGCGCGATAATGCAACATTTTCGGGTATTTGCAACGCGCTTGTTTATATTTCGTTTGTTTTGTTTCAATGCGCGTTGCCTTTTGCATCACGCAATGCACGACGACGCGCACACCGCGACAACACAACATCAACACATTCGAAATGCGACTGAACGCGCGCGCGCTCGCGTACGCCGCAGATGGCGCGCCACCGCACGCACACCAGCGCACCGCTAAGTGGATTAGGAGGGGCGCGCGCGCTCGCGAGCGTCGGTCCTCCGCACTCACCCCTCGGCGTGGACTCGCCCGGAAGTGCCTCCTCGGCAAAGGCAGGCATAGGCACAGGAGAAGCAACCGACGCTGTCGTCGCGGGCCCGAATGCCGCACGCACGCACGCACGCATCGTGCGCGCAAGAGAACCCAAACAAAACTTATTCAACGCAAGCAAAGACGGGCGCGGCGAGGAGGAAGAAGACGTCGTCGTCGTCTCGCTGTGCTCGCCCGACACGACACACACGGATCGAATTACACGCGATTCTCGCACGAAACCAGCGCGCCAGCAGCAGCAGCAGCGAGTGAGTCGCCGCGCCGCGCGTTCATTCACTTTCTTCAGCGCAACATGCACGACGATTCGCGTTTTTTCCTCCTCCTCGAGACTTAAAAACTATTCCAATTCTTCTCACACATCAAGTGCATGCTGATTGATTTGCAGCCTCTTTGACTTGGGATGCACGCCGACAACAGCCCGATTCCAGGAAATACGGTCAGTAATCTTAGTGGCAGAGACCCCACGCATTCCACGGCGGTCGCTCTCTTCGTTGCACCACAAGTCGCAGAGAGCCCACCACGCTAGCCAGCACTTAACTTGTACCGACCGTGTGAGGAATCCGGTCGAAAGAGAAACCCCGCATCAGAGAACTTTTTGGATAACGTCGAATAAAATTGCATTGCAGTTGAGGAGAAAAAAAAAAAACAAGCCGCGGAAAAAATACCACACGACTTAATGACATAATACGTGCGTGATAAAGGCCCCGAAGGCAATGTGCGATAAGCCGTTCTGCGGTGCAAGCATATTTCATTCATAACCGA